TAATGGATGGTAGAGTTGTCATTATGGAAAGTAGATTGTTGTCGAGATTTTTGTTACTACAATGTATGGTAGTCTTGTCATTATGAAAGGTAGTTTGTTGTCAAGATTTTTGTTATTACAATGTATGGTAGCCTTGTCATTATAGAAGGTAATCTCTTGTTTATATTTTCATTATTCCAATGGATGGTAGCCTAGTCATTATGGAAGGTAGTCTATTGTCGAGATTTTTGTCACTCTAATGGATGATAGCCTTGTCATTATGGAAGGTTGTCTGTTGGCGATATTTTTGTTACTCCAATGGAAGGTAGCCTTGTCATTATGGAAGGTAGTCTCTTGTTGATATTTTCGTTACTCCAATGGATGGTAGCCTTTTCATTATGGAAGGTAGTTTGTTGTCGAGATTTGTGTTACTCCAATGGATAATAGCCTTATCATTATGGAAGGTAGTTTGTTGTCGAGATTTTGTTACTCCAATAAATGGTAGCCTATTGTCGAGATTTTTGTTACTCAAATGGATGGTAGCCATGTCATTGTGAAAGGTAGTTTGTTGTCGATATTTTTGTTATTACAATGTATGGTAGCCTTGTCATTATAGAAGGTAGTCTCTTGTTGATATTTTCATTACTTCAATGGATGGTAGCCTAGTCATTATGGAAGGTAGTCTATTGTCGATATTTTTGTCACTCTAAAGGATGATAGCTTTGTCATTATGGAAGGTTGTCTGTTTGCGAGATTTTTGTTACTCCAATGGATGGTAGCGTTGTCATTATGGAAGGTAGTTTGTTGTCGAGATTTTTGTTACTCCAATGGATAATAGCCTTGTCATTATGGAAGGTAGTCTGTTGTCGAGATTTTGTTACTCCAATGGATGATAGCCTTATCATTATGGAAGGTAGTCTATTGTCGAGATTTTTGTCACTCCAAAGGATGGTAGCCTTGTCATTATGGAAGGTAGTCTGTTGTCGATATTTTTGTTAGTCCAATGGATGGTAGCCTTTTCATTATGGAAGGTAGTCTATTGTCGAGATTTTTGGCACTCCAATGGATGGTAGCCTTGTCATTATGGAGGTAGTCTGTTGGAGAGATTTTTGTTACTCCAATGGATGGTAGCCTTGTCATTATCGAAGGTAGTCTTTTCTTGATATTTTCATTCTCCAATGCATGGTAGCCTTGTCATTATGGAAGGTAGTCTCTTGTTGATATTTTCATTACTCCAATGGATGGTAGCCTTGTCATTATCGACGGTAGTTTGTTGTCAAGATTTTTGTTTCTCCAATGGATGGTAGACTTATCATTATGGAAGGTAGTCTATTGTCGAGATTTTTGTTACTCCAATGGATGGTAGCATTGTCATTATGGAAAGTAGTATGTTGTCGAGATTTTTGTTACTACAATGTATGGTAGTCTTGTCATTGTGAAAGGTAGTTTGTTGTCGAGATTTTTGTTATTACAATGTATGGTAGCCTTGTCATTATAGAAGGTAGTCTCTTGTTGATATTTTCATTACTCCAATGGATGGTAGCCTAATCATTATGGAAGTTAGTCTATTGTCTAGATTTTTGTCACTCTAATGGTTGATAGCCTTGTCATTATGGAAGGTTGTCTGTTGGTGAGATTTTTGTTACTCCAATGGAAGGTAGCCTTGTCATTATGGAAGGTAGTCTCTTGTTGATATTTTCGTCACTCCAATGGATGGTAGCCTTGTCATTATGGAAGGTAGTCTGTTGTCGATATTTTTGTTAGTCCAATGGATGGTAGCCTTGTCATTATGGAAGGTAGTCTATTGTCGAGATTTTTAGCACTCCAATTGATGGTAGCCTTTTCATTATGGAAGGTAGTCTGTTGGCGAGATTTTTGTTACTCCAATGGATGGTAGCCTTGTTATTATCGAAGGTAGTCTCTTCTTGATATTTTCATTACTCCAATGTGTTGTACCCCAAATTTTGACCTAAGATACCGTCTTCCATCTGCATCATTCGCATTGCAAGAGTTTTGACCATTTTTATCAAATTTTCAAAGCAGTTTAAAAATTCATAACTTTTTCGAGTCGGGAGCCGTTTATTTGTTGAACGCTAAATTTATTAACTGATCAAGATTTAAATGACGTTTATTAATTATTTATTATCTTAAATTTAAATAATTGGAATCTATTTTTCAATTGTTATATAATTTAAAGACTTATGAATAATGAAATAAGCATTTGAGAATGAGTTTATTAATTGGTCAACAATGATTATTTAATTCTCTATCATTTTAGATTAAATAATTAAAATTCTATTTTTAATTATTATAATTTGGAATTTTACGAATAATGAATTAAATAGTTGAATTTGTTGATTAGTCAATGATGTTTATTTATTTGTTTGTCATTCTGAATTTAAATGATTGGATTTGATTTTCAATCATTATATGATTTAAGGAATTATAAACAATAAATAAATAATTGGAAAGAAAAGGAATTAATTGAGAAATAATAGAATTTTTATTCACTTTATTCTATTTATTACAATTGTTGTTTAAATACTATTGTACAAAGTATTTATAATAACCATTACATAAATGCTTAAAGTAAAATAAAACTATTTTTCTAAATTCTAATTCTAATCTTCTATCCAATACTTTTTGTCTGCTCATTTAAATTTTACCTGCAAAGAAAACGATTAAAAGAAAGAAATTAGAATTCGAATAAATAATTAAAATGCAGAAAATAAATTCAATGTTCATCATTAAAAGAAATGGCCGGAATCAGTTACTCTTTTTTGCAAATCACGGGATTTCTCCCGGTTCACAAAAAAGAGAGGAATTTTTAAATGAATGCACAATTAAAAAATAGCACATTTTCAAAATCATTTGCATTTTTATCAAAAAGCCCACTGCATATTTCACATATGCATAAATATTTTTTTGGTCAAAACTGCATAAGTAAATCACAGCATACATTTTTTTCAAACAAACATATGCAAGGTACACAACAAGCCAACGTTAACCTGCAGAATAATATAGGCTAATGCAAGACAAAAAAACAATATGAAATTTCAAACAATGTGCAGTTTTAAACAATGTATGCAAGCAACCTATTCCTTTTTTTGTCATCATTTTCTGGCCATTACAATTTCAGAAAATGTACAGTATATCATTTATATATATCATTTCTGTACTTGGGAGAGAGAGAGAAGAGATTCAGTTTTGCAGGTTTTTGATTTAAGCATGAATTGGGAATAAAGTCAACATATGCAGCAGCATTTATGCAGGACATCAGGAATATATTAAATATATTCAAAACCTGAGCCATGAGAATAGGAAGCAACGGCTATTTGAAAATCCCTTCAAAAAAAAGGAAGTGTGAACTGGCATAGTAATACCACCAACACATTACTGCAAAAGGAAGCCAAGCAAAATAGCATGTTCCATTTTCCACACCATAACCATTCTGCATACTGCTGAACCATTTCCAAGCATACTAATCTAACAACCATTCACAAACTGCATATTGCTAAACCACGTTCTGTACATAACCATTGCAAAACCTGCATATAACATTTTCATAACCTGCATATTTTCATAACGGGCATATTGCAAAAAAAACCTGCTACCTGCTGAACCTAAGCCCCTGCCTAACCATAAACCTGGAATACACAAGAGGATTTGTCCAAAACTATTCAAAAAGTCACATATTTCAAAGGCCACATATTTGATAACCTGCATTTTTTTCATACCCATTCGGCATACTACAAAACCACATAACCGGCATATTGCAAAACCTGCATATTGCTAAACCGTTTCTAAGCATATTGTCAAACCATCCAGCATACTGACCAAAACCGAATAAACCACAAAAACCATTTATTCATTTTTTCAACCAAGTTTTAGACGAAGAAGAAGAGAAGAATTAGTAGCAGAAAACAAAGAGCGAGAAGTGTTCGGAGCTTACCTAACTTCGCCGGAATTGTACCGTCGGACTAGCTCCGACCATGTGAGTTTTTTAGTTTTTCGCATAAACCTTTATATCTTTGTTTTGCCTTTGTCTCACTTAATAATCCTCTCTCAATTTTCTGAAATCATTGAAAATGGCCCTTCAATATCATTACAGATTTAAATCAAATAAAAACCTTTATTTCACAAAAACATTCCATTCAAAATCTGAGTTTGAAAAAAGAAGGGAAGCAGGGTACCTTTAGCCTTCAATCATCTCCGTGCCACTCAGACTGCACCTGTGGCTCAAGAATTTGCTGTGGACAGGCCTTGAAGCACTTTTCCAACTCTTTAGGCACATATTTTTGCCTTCATTCTTCTCTTGCTGCTTAGGCTTTGGTTTCAAGTATTACTTAGATTTGAAGAGCTCAAGGAGAGAAGCAATACTCATGGAAGTCACCATTGAAAAATAGGAAATGTATCGTTAGCTTTTGCAAATCAGTGACAGAAATTTCTTTTTACTAAAAAAAACATAACAATTAACCGCATCTTACCTCTCGCGGCCATTGTGAGCGCATCGCCTCTTCTGGTCACTCTACTCCGCACATCCCTCGCTTAATCACCATCTTCATCAACCTATTTCAACAGTCATAACAATGTTTTCAAAATCTGGAAAATCATCACAATACACAGAATTCATAAAAAACTCATGAAAGGTCACAAGAGCTTACCTCTCAAATGCTAACCATTCTTGATCTTCAACCTCGCCAATTCGCCAAGACACCGCGTTTCGTTTCTTTCCCTGATTCAATTTCAAGCATCATGCGAACAAAATCATCCATCAAAAGCTCTTCATATAGGCTAATTAGAGTTTCAAATTAAAACTTCAATTAAGCTTGAACTAGAGTGTTCTATACCTGCAATAAACATACAATTCCAGAATGCACCGAAAATGAAAAGTGGAAGAAGAGTCAGTAAAATCCAAATGCACACTCCGTCGTATCCGGCCATCCCTTCTTCTTCTTCATACCTCTGTTTCTCTCAAATGCTCTAAAACCCCTTAAACCCTACTATTTCCGACCACCGCGATGGTTTCGTCGCTATTTGTCTACCGCCGCAGCTTCAGATCACTCTCCACCCTCCACCATTCCTTTTCTTCTACTTTGACACTCCCAATCAGCAACCACATTTCATCATCATGTTCACGTCTGCAATCATCAGCGAAACTCGTAGGCGTTCAGTCCCGTACATTCAGATCAACGTCAATTTCTCTCTTGTCTTCATGCGTCACAACAGAACTTCGGGCCACCAAGACAAGGAGGAAGAAGAGGGATCCAGCGGCGGCGGCCTTGGTGCCTTCAGTTCCTAGGGTTTCTTCGTTACAACTTTGTTTTTTTCTTTTCCTGGGTCTGGGTCTTCCAACGACCCGGCCCATTTCCCTCGACCCGCTCCATCTTCCTTCAACCCAGCCCAATTGCTTTTAACTTAAACCCTTTCTAATTGCAATTCACACCCCACCCTTTTACATACTTTTAGTTTAATTCTATTTCTTTTTTCTTAACTTATCTAATTTTGATTAGTTAGTTTCTTAGGAATAAATATAGTTTTAATTAGACAAATTTAAATATTTTATCCAATCTCATTTAGTTTAAATTTATGTTTATTTAATAATTTTAGTTTTACTTATTTCTAATTCAATTTGAATTCATTGGTTTGTAAGTTTAATTTAAAAAGATATTTAGTATCTCTAAAAAACATATGAAAGTAAAAAATGAGAAAACTAAAAGACATGCTATTTTTCCTTTAATTTACTCTCCTCATTTTGATTAAATACCAATATAATAAAAACAAAAAATAGAAACATATAAAAATCTAAAAAAAAAACATTTCTATTAATTCCCATGTTTTCTCCCTATTAAAAATGTGTAAAAAAGTGAAAACCAATTAAACTTTTTTCTTTTCGCCTATTAAACAAAAATCATATAAAAATGCATGTCCACATTTAATTGTTGTGTATCATTTTCTGTCAATTATTTCATCGTACTTAATTATCATGTTTGCACCAATCCAAAGGGAATTGTCTAATTTTTGTTGACTTCATGTCCTCAAAAAAACGATCGAGCGAGTACCCTCATTTCATTAAAACTTAGGATAATTTTTCCAAATATCCGATTTCTCCAAAACTCATACCTTTTAAGTCAAAACTTCAACGTTAGGTTGTCGTATCTTCAAAAACCCGTCCGTATCCCTTTTTCGGCCAAAACGATTTATTTTCAATCAAGCGATCAATTTTAAATAAAACAGATATTTCAAAAGGTTCCTATAGAGTACTATAGATACATTGGGTGCTAGTACCTTCCCATTGTATAACCAACCCCCGAACTCTCGATCTCTTTTTTTTCAAAAACGCCTTGTATTCTTATTACTTTTAAAAGTATTATTTACATTGCATATTTAGGGTTTTATTTCGCTCTCTTCCCTTTTCCTTTGGAAACAATAAAGCGCGGTGGCGACTCTTGCTTTTGTGAGACGAATTAATCAATAATTCGATCTCCGATTTACCCCGCTACATTTTTATCGCTACAGAATTGGCGACTCTGCTGGGGATAGATTGACCTCTTGCTGGTCCATCCCTAAGTGGGTTAAGCCTAATTTGTCTTATCTGTTTACTATTATTTGATTTGCTTGATTATATGTTTAAATTGGGGTTATTCGGGTTTTTCGCAAAAGACAAGTCCTATACCCGGACTAAGTTACACTTAGGAATAGGACGGGCGGTATAGTCATGTTAACTTTGAGGGAGTAATCCCGAAGAAGGAGGCATGAGATCCCCCACTCAGTGGAAGGCCCTCTTGAACGTAATATTTGTTTACCGAGTAATCGGGAAGACATTATTATTTTTGACCTAGGAGCCCGAGAAGTTGAGGACCGTAGAACCCTAACCCATCTTGGCCTTTTTAGGTGTAGCGCGGAGACTATAACGGAGTAATTCGGAAGTAGTTGTTACGCGATGCTACGCTCGGACGAGTTTCTCTTGAGAATATTGCTAATTATTGAGTAATCAAGACGTTGGTAATATCCGAAAGAGGGATGCAGACTCTGGGAACTCTTAGAACCATGTCTTACAGGTGCGTTTGAACCGATAGTACATACCTTCGGGTGGGTTTTACCCTTGACTCCATGCGGAACGTTGAACCTTTAAACCCCATGTTTGTGACCTTACTTGTGGTTGTTGCATCTCCATGCATTCATGCATCCATAAAACTCTTTTCACTTGACTTTGAAGGAGTTTGGAGGTCTTTCTTTGTAAACATCATTAGTTTCGTCAAACTCAATGGATCTTGGGTGTCGATAGGGCGAAAACCCTAATCCACCAAAATGGATGATTGATCTTGACGATAACTTGATCAATGTTTGGAGCCAATTTAAAATTCATCTGTTATCTTCATACTTGGATGTTTATAACTTGATATCTTGAGTTCCTTGAAAGTCAAATAAAATTCTCTTTTGCATACCACACATCATTCTACATTTTTTTCCTTTGTCTCACTTTCAAAGGTCTTTTTCGAGTCTTATTTTTTCCTTTTGGTCTCACTAGTACAACACTCGCGCTAAGAGGATAATGGAGAATATCAAGCAAGAGATTTCTGAACTCCGCAGAGAGGTGACTATTTTGAAAGCTAGTTTGGATCACTTAACTGGTTTGGTTGAAATTCTGATCTCCGCCCAAGTCAATCCTTCTAGGAGGGAGGAAGCAAGGATAAAAGTCTTCACGGAAACTCTAAAATCTTTTCCTCATGAAAAGATGATGGTTAATGCACCTGTTGACTTTCTTGACAAGGTGAATGTGGGAGTGCGTCTAGAAGAAGATGTCGGAAAGGGATGTTTATATGAAGTGGGTAGCTCAGTTAATGGTGTGAAGAGGTTTGATAATGACTTTTCCAAGAAGAGAACCAGAGGAAGAGATAATCATCATCAGAATCATCATGTTTCTCCCATTTATCAACAGAATCAGCAAGTTCCTAATCAGAGGAAGACCCAGTTTGATTCAATTCCAATCACCTACACAGAGTTGTTCCCTATCCTGATGCAGAGGAATTTGGTTCAGACCCGACCTCCACCGAAGGTCCCTAAGAAGATACATTGGAACTACAAAGCTGATTTGGCTTGTACTTTTCATCAAGGTGCTCCTGGGCATGAATTGGAGGGTTGCTTTGCTTTGAAGATTGAGGTTCAGAAGTTGGTCAGAAGTGGTATCTTGTCATTCAAGGACGTTGGTTTTGAAGTTCAAATCAAACAGGCGCCGAAGAGTAAACACGACTGAGGGTGACTTTGAGTTTTTGAAGATGTTTTCGGTAGTTCAAGTGGAAAGCCTTCCCAGATTATTAACTTGTTTCTGCTTTTGTAGCTTTTCTTATTTATCAAAACATTGTTTGCATGTAAGAACTTATTTGCATCTGAATGATCATTTTAATACAATGAGTATGTTTGTCTTGAAGAAATTCATTCGTTTCACTCATATTTGTTCTCAAATTTCAAATTTCTTTTGACATTATGATACCAACTTATTGCCCATTCTCTTGCCTAGGCAGAGATTGAAAGGGGGGATGATGATCTAAAGAACACAAAATCTTTGGTTGCATGCTTTTGAATAAAATCTTGTTGATGATGTACAGGCATTGTTTCAAATCCCTAAACACCGGAGATATAAGGAAGATAATCCCTTGCTAACCCCTTTTGAGCCTTTGAAGCAGAAGTTTCTTTTCTATACAAAAAACCTTGAATTTTAACCTGGGGCAGGGTAGTTTTCAGTTAATTTGATTGAGTGTTCAAAATTCGCAAGGAAGATGTTACCGTCACAAAATCCTTTGAGAGATGAACACTCATGTTGAATTAACCGAACATAGAGTTGGAGAACATCATGAAGAATGGGTGGGCACCAAATATTTTGAGCCTTAAAATCTTTTTCTAAAAAACCCATAAATTGGACCACATTACAACCTTCCAAAGTCCTAATTGAAGCAAGGTCATTCTGAAAGCATACTTCAAGGAGATAGTGTTCCTGACTCCCATGAATGTTCTAAATAGTTATGTTGGTATCATATGTTTTTCCTGCACAAAAATAAATGATGCTTTAACTCGCAAAATTTGTGCGATATCTTTCAAAAATCTTCAAGACTTACATAACTGTTGCATTAGAATTTTCATTCTCATTGTAAACTTTTTTTTCTAACTGCAAAACATTTGTTCGATATCAAGGAAGCTCACATAAACGCCAGTGATGAGTTTACCCTTTTAAGGTTTGGAACTATGTTGGGTATTTGGAGAATCAATTCAAGAAAATCATATCCAGGGGCATGTTAGTTGAAGACCTTAAGCATGGACAGGTTGCTTCTCCTAGTTAATGCTTTTCCCAATTTGTTTGCTCGTTTGGGGGCAAAAATTCGAAGACTTTGTTATGCCAACTACAGTCAATCCGGGGCAATCACGTCGAGATTTGATGATTTCCTCTAAGAGTTTGAAGACACCAGAGCATGGTGAATGCCAGGTCTTTTGTAAACCCTCTTGGGACGCTTTCTCCTCATCAACCTTTTAGCTTGGGGCTTTCTAGAAGTGAAACTATTCGCAAGAATTGTCGTGCAACATGCAGCTCATCAACAGTAAATTTGGGGCACCCAATATTGGACCCAGGGGCAATCTAGACTTGTCAGGATGTGTGTTATGTATTGCACACTTTATCAGAGGGTGGTGTTCCCAGTCTCCAGCTAAGCATGACTCCTTCCAGCAGAAGATTTGTTCGTGTTGTCGACGATAGAAGATGGGACTTTGGGTTGAATATCTTCCTCTCCAAGAGATTTGAGCTTTGTAGGATAACTTTGCTCCTTTGATGGCTTTTATCTTCTATCTCCAGTGATGTTCCCCTCCTTTTGAAATTAGCCGAGTGTCGGGTTGCACTGTGATGTCTTATCATCTTCTGTCTATTTCCCCTGTCGTTTTGTCAGCATACACATGACATTCATTCACACTTGCATCATGCACGCACAGTTGTATTTGTTGATGTCATTGAGTTCGTACACCTTGGTTGTGTCTTTTCAAATAGCACCTCTGATCTTTCCAAATAGAGTGCCAACTTAAGCATAAAATGTGCCTCCTTTCTAATTCCCCAACTGAGCTAATCCTCGTGGATGATTTTTGATTTAGCTTACCTTGTCCATTTCTGGATAGGATAATTTCCCCAATCGATTTACTTTCTCATTGGGAGGAGTCTTGTTTGACTGTTTTCTCTCTGGTTATTCCTGGATGAAGTTGTTGCCTCTTGCATAGGCTACCTCAGTGTTTTTCCCCAGTGAAATTGCGACCTAGACGGTTGGTGCATTTATTTTGCACGTTAAAATATATGATCTCCTCGGGAAGGATTGATTCAGGGTTCTCTTTGATGAAGATTTTATTCTCTGCCAATATCATCGCAGTTCCCTTCTGAATT